TCATTTGGGCCTGGTCCGTAGTCGTGTCCAAGACTTGGCCTTTCGGCCTGTTATCCCCCAAGGTCGGGCCTTTAGGCCCTGATGTGTCCCTCTAGCCCTAAGTCGGGTCCGGTAGGACCCATGTGGCGTCGAAGATGTAACAAGTTGACTGCTCTGTCAGTGGTTCGAACCCCAGTTTTGAATAGCTGGTATTGTTATGGGCAGTGGGGGTCGTGTCGGGCACCTACCGCCTGCCTGCACAGCCTGAATCTTACTACCTTCTTCATCCGAATAGAACGCCCGGTCATTATCGCTGTATTTGGCACAACTTTCTGTCCAAATGCGGCAATACGGGGCGTTCTATTCGGGTGTTTACCGTAGGTTTCCGAACTCTGGAGGGCGCTGATGGAGTGGTACGCAGTTCGAAACCCGGACAAAACCTGCGGAAATGTGCTTCTTTTCCCCCATTCCTCAGTTGCCGAGTTCAGCGTTGGGATCTTCCTCGATGAAAAAAATGCTGTTTTTCAAGAACTACTGGACAGATGGTTGGTTGCCTGCAGGGTCAGATTTGAACTTTTTAATCACGAGAGTTGCGGTTATTGGAATGAGACTACTGAAATGACCCGCCAAAAACACAGACTGAGAACACTGCTGATTTCTGGGATTTGCCGCTGGAATGAATGCCTTGCTGAGATTCCCGCATTCTGCTGTGGTTTCCAAGTCTGTGTGTGTGTGTGTGACCTGCTGGTTTGCATGCCTGACTGAGTGCTTGTCGGCTGGGTGTGTGTGTGACCCGCAAGGGTACTTGTTGGTTGAAAGGCCCCGCAGGGCCGGTACTTACCTGTGGCCGTGACTTTGAGGGTGGCAGCGGGGAAAACACTCAAGTAGCAGGGGTAGGCCCACGACACTTAGAGCGGCGGGTAAAAACACTCAAGTAGCAGGTAGGCCAGTACCACTCAAGTAGTGGTAGGAGTGTCGGGTACTGGAGGCCGAGCAGAAGAAGACAAAAAGTTGGCATTTTTAGAGGCCCAGTAGCGGTAGGATAGAGGTAGGCCGGTACCAGTCCAAGTAGCCTGGGTCTCGGGCCTGTCCGGACGATAGCAGAGCCTGCAATGATGTTTCCCTCCGAAAGGGAGGAGGTACCGGTTGCTGGGAGGCC